AAAAAAAAAAAAAAAAAAAGAAAACGGGAAGTGTACAAATAGAAACACATCAAAAACTGATGCTGGTTATGTACGTCCTTTTCAAACGGATAATGCGTTCTGAGCAATCGATTACGCAGAACCGTACAAATGAAAAAAAAAAAAAAAAACTCATCACAGGTACTATGGTAAATAAACAAAACAACCACAGGAAGGATTATTTTCACCATAAATATATCAAGAAAAAAGATAAGAAGGATTAGTCTCAAAGTAAAAAAAAAAAAAAAAAAAACACCTTCGTGAAGGTGAAGGGGAAGAATGAATAAAAGAAAGAATAATTTAAACCTTGCTTTACCTCCACCCTTTAATAAATCAAATAAAAAGGAGAATCAAAGAGTAATATATAAGAATTATCTGTAAGAACCATAACTTCCCCATGAAAAATAAAAGTGCACCCAATATTTTCTCTCTCTATAGTTGTTTTTTTGATTAATACCAGAACTGACGAAATGGAAGTGCTGTGAGAAGCCCTTTTAACCCGCCTTTCGCTCTTCCCATCGCAAGTTCCACACCCTTTCGCAACGTTCAATTTTTTTGATGGTTTCCCCTCTAGATATGCCATCCGCCGAATTGTCCTTTGAGGTGACGTAACTTCACGTGGCTCGTATTCCATGTGATCACAAAACTCTCTATCTTTGGCGTCGGCCTCCGTCACTAACGCCTGTGAATGCGCATTTCCTTTTTTGCATAAATGTGCATTATCATTCTGTTGTCTATACGAATGTCCAAGGACATGTTAAATGCGTTTTACAACCAAGAAAAGCGAAATGAAGTGCACGCGCCTCTGCTTGAGATATCATGTGTGAGGGTCAAATGCTCCCACACAACACCTGCCGCCAGAACTTCCCTTGAATCCTTAAACAACAACGTTCCACATCCGTACAATGGATGTGTCTGTTACCAGCGTTGCCGTGGATGGCAAGTGCTGCGGCGGGGGAAAAAAAAGGGCTCGTTCATTAACAGTGTTTTGAGCCAATTTTACCCAATTTCCCTCGCATTGGATGATAAATTTGTCTGGTCTTGTGGCCGTAATATACCCCAGTTTAAATGTGACAATCGTCGGCGCGCTATTTTTAAGAAGAAGTAATAAGGGAAAAAAGACTCACCCCTTACCCCTGCTGCGCACATCATGTGTGAAACTGTACTATCTAATTCTTCAACTTTTGAGTGTTCCAATAGTGGTGCTTCTTGCAATCTCTTTATTATCTTTTGGCTTAGGGAAACCGTGTTTTCCTTGTGGTTAAGGTGTACTCCCATGAAATCATATTCTTTTGTGTTTAACTGTTGGTCCTCAATAGTGACTCTACAGCTTTGCAATATTATGTATGTTTTGCCCTCCCCAAACTTCCCACCTTTTCGTGTGGACCACTTATTCTCATGTTATCAATCCAAAGATGTATTTTTTATAGCTTGGGTACTGAATACTTCAGCAATACCAATAAAGGATCACCAGCGAGAACTCTTGTAATAGTGTTTTAAAATCTCAGGACTACATTTGTAGTCCATGAGAAGGCGAGTGAACTTAACGAGCTCACTTGATTCCGTGCGGAAACGGAAACTTGCTCGTATGTTCACCGGTAGAGTCGCCTGGAAAAAAAAATGCCTTTAAATCAAATAATGAAACGGTATTGGTGGTGCCGAATGTTTCTTCTGCCGCTTTACGGCTGCCTGTATGAAAGGGATCATCCTGTTTTTTTGAGGGTCAATGGTATCCTCCCAAATGTCCTGCATCTTCACTCCGGGATAATCCTTAACTGTTTGTATTATCTGAAGATCTCTGTAAAGCTATCATCCCATTTGAGCCTTTGGTGCCGTAATCCCTTCACTGCTAATAGTGTTCGTCCATTGCAGAACATTTTTCCATACGGCGGTATAGGCTGCGCCAGTATTTATTTGCTGACATGGGAAAAAATTCTTTTTTTTTGATATTCGGTTAACACTTGGCTTGGTGATGTCTCCACTATATAATTCATCATTCCTTCAACAGTCCGGATTTTCTCCTCCCGCCTGGCTCCTACATTCCAACCCAACTGTTGAAATTCCTGTATTCCTGGATAACATGATTTTGGGGGTTCAACATTAACCCGTAGGGTGTGGTTAACCCTCTCTTTCCACAGCTTGTGGGAGACATCTTCACGTGCTTGTGTGGAGATGTTTTCTTATTTCCAATTCCGCTCCTTGATTCTCTCGTTGCGAGAGTTTTTTTGTAATGCTTCCACAACTTGCGCTTCTGTTTCTTCTCTTTGTGTTTTTTTTTTTTTTT